CACACTTCTCTAAGGCTTAAGTTAATATTATATTTTACACCTGAAAGTAAGTCAATTTCTACTATAACATTAAGGAGTATAGATCTAGATCTAGATCTAGAATGACTCCCAAACAAACAAGATCCCAGAAGATAACAAAAACTCATTTGTGTTATTAAGGATACAGAATGCTAATAGTAATAGCCGTATTTATTATTCTTATTTAATCTTAATAAATCAAAAACTATTAAAGCTAGAGAAAGAACGAAAAGTCCTCTCATCTTCAAAAATAGCTCAACAAATTAGTCCATCAATCACATATTTTAAATTGAGAATGTATATAGTTTTATAATCAAATGCCCAAAATAAAAAGATGAACAATAGCTAAGAAGTTAGAAAACAAGTTGGGACAATACCATGAATGAAATACTTTGAAAAACAACGCATTAAATGGCCCATGTGGGCCAATAAGCCACAGCTTATTTGCCCATGTGGGCCAATAAGAGCAGCCCGGCGGTATTCCGTCTCATGAGAACGGCGAGAATCTTGAGAGCAAACCACAGAATTCTACACTTTAGTGCTATTTAATAAATACATTCGTCAGATCTGGAATCTTTAATGCCCGCACACAGTAAACAAACACACATTTTTGAACACGTATAAGAAAAAATGAGTGGTGTCTTGTTACGGATCAAATCGAAGTCCTGTTACAATTCAATTAATTGATAAAATCGCGCATCGCAAGGCATCGGCTAACCCAGCGCTATAACGCTATTTTATAAATACGTTCGTCAGATCTGGAATCTTTAATCTTTAATTTTTAATCACCGCACACAGTAAACAAACACACATTCATGAACATGTAAACAAAAATAAGTGGTCTTTTGTTACGGATCAAATTTAAGTCCTGTTACAATTCAATAATTGATAATAGCGCGCATTACAATGCTTTGGCTAACCCAGCATTATACGCTATTTAATAAATACATTCGTCAGATTTGGAACCTTAAATTGTGATCATAATTATATGTGCCTGCGCGAGGGAAGTGAAAGTGAAAGGAATTGAAAATGCTTTCAAAAACAATTATGAAAGTAACATAAATTAAAGTAGGACTACATGTGCTTATAAAGGCCCAAAAAGGTGTATGGAGGCGGAAATTAATGTTTCGGAGGAAAATAATACGCTATCTTTACTACCGTCAAAAATTTGTTGCGCAACTTATTATTAAATATCTAGGCTACTGAACTATCGAACATCTAGATCTAGATCTAGATTCTCCTACTTTTGCACAATGACTTAGCTTTATATCAATTCGTCGTAACAGATGAGTATTTTTTCAAACATTTGTACACATAGGTCGCGCCGGTCAATAGATCAGAAGCTATTCTCCGGCGCGACGCCGCGGGTCTATTACTAACACTTTGTCGGCGCAGATTTGCAAATACCTCTCTCATCTGTTTGTCTTGGGAAAAAATTCCCACAACTTCACCACTTCGTGCCACTTCCATTGATACAGACAATAGGTTTTCAGACACAAACTGCCTCAATTCCTCCAATTTAGAATTATGTTAGGTGCTAGAAGAAACGTGTTCACCTCTAGTGACGTGAGTTCATAACAAAGAGTGAGCATAAGAAGGAGTCACGTTTTCACTGTTTACAAAAATGGAAATACGACAAGAAAGCACTGAAGTCGTGAAATATCAGTTAAATTTATGGAAAATTACAACAACAAAATAAGTTGAACAGCAAGCTATATACTCTTTGACTAGACAGGATTTTAGACACAAAATCAATTTTGTTCGTTTAAATAAAGTATTTTAAAATAAGCAAATCGACGACGGAAATAAATGAATAAAGTTATGCTGGACAAAATAGATAAAATGTTATAATATAATGAAAGGTAGACGCCGGAGAATAGCTTCCGATCTATTGACCGACACGACGCCGGAGAATAGCCACTTTAAATTGCTTAAAGAAAATTCTTTAATAAATACTAGTCCAATATTTAAAAAAAATCCCAGTCAATGGTTTCTACAGATTTTAAAAAGTTTACAGCTGGAGCTAAATCTCTTTTAAAAGCAAGTCCGTCCTTTTTTTCTACTTCTACTGGCGACATATAGCTAATTATTGAACGCATGTTTTGAGAACATTAATTAGATCTAGATTAGTGAAAAAAATATGTTCAGTGAAAAAAACAACAAGTTTCTTGTAACAAGTTTTGCTACTAAAAAAAAAGACGTAGACCATATATGCGTATGCAAAATGTGTGTGGGAAGCTAGAATTAGTGCTGTGAACAATCCCAGATCCGTGTTACGAATTTTTTCAGTTCTGTAGATCTTATATAAACTCCGTTATGTCTGCTTTTTTTTGTTGTTGCTCCCAAAAACACAACAATTTAAAACCTAAATTCCAATTTCCAGGTTGCACAGTGAATTCTGAAACTCAAAATTACAAACTGGACAGTAAATGTTCCACTTTTCACTCGTTTGTAAAAGCTGCTCTTGCATTAAAAGCTATAGGGTTATTTCCGAAAACGATAAATCTTGCCCTCAAGACGCCATTGTTTTCGGTCTTCAATTCCTCACAGGTCACATGGTACAGATGAAGCAAACTGAAAGCAGCGGTTTTCAAATACTGCCGACGGACTTTTTCGGTGGCCGCACACCGCTCCATGCGAATCGGCCTGCCTTTAGGGTGGTACATGTATTAACAAATGAGAAAGAGACGAAGTGAAACGGTAGCGAAAATAAGTTAATAACCTGCTTTTTTCTAAAAAGTAAAGCGTTTCGTGGAGTTGCTGTTGTTTTAAAAAAATAGATTTTTTATTCCCCAGCGGCGTTTTTTTTTGTGTGGTTTTGTTTTGCAAAACGCAAAAATCGCGGCCGCGATTCGCGGACCTAAAAATGCCAAAAAATCGCGACAAACGGCGCAGGTACTAGATCTAGATTTATATTATAATATTATAGTATTCCTCGGAATAAGCAGGTATAAAAAATAAGTACAAGTACGTATTCTTTCGCAACCCCCTAAAATGTATATGAACTGTATACAGTGCCCCCCCCCCCCTTTTTTTTTGTGGGAGGACTTCCGAAACGAGCGACAACTATGACTATAATGAGACAGAGAAGAATAAAAGGCTAGGGGTAGGGGTAGATCTAGATATAGGATCTAAGGATATAAGGATAGGGGTAGATCATTGGGGTAGGTCTAGCGGTAGGGGTGAGGTTTGGGTTAGATCTAGATCTAGAGTCTAGGTCTTTTCTTTATTGTGTTTTGTTGGGGTAGTTGCTGGTGACGAGAGTCCTTCCCCCCATTTATCAATATCTGGTAAATGTGCCCCCCCCCCTTTTTTTGGCTACCACCTCCCCCCTTTTGTTTGGAACCTCATAGTCATAGTACACTAACACTTGATTCCATTTACCCACTTAGGCTAGACAATAACAACAGGCCTGACGCGACCATGAATAAAAAGGTAAGCTGTCATCGCTTAGCCTTCGCTGCGTGTAGCCTAGCACTGGTTGTCACGAACAGCGCCGCAAGCTGTCTGTACCAGAGATGTACACTATTACTCTGTTTAAAAGGAGATAACTCTATGGTCTGTACTCTCTCGTTTAGGCTTACATTGCTGTTCTGCCCTAGGCCTAGATTTTTTAGATCTAGATCTAGATCTACATTCTAGGTCTAGATCTCACAGATTCTAAGCTAGCCAAGGCCTATAGATCAGTATCACTAGCCCTATCTACTATCTAGTCTCAAGATCTTGGCCTAGTCTTTGAAGTGACCTGAATCCAGTTCTTATGTTGAACTTGTGCGTCAGATCAATTGATTTCATTTACAATTCTTGACTTTCAAACTGTAGGATAAATGTGCTGTTCTGTTTGATTTTGCTCCACCCTGTCGGCCCAGGTTTTATAACGTTTTTCAAGTGTCTTTAAAAATATTAGATGCATTTATGATACCATCATGTATAAAAACATATTGAGACTATTATTATCATATTCAAGCTTTTGTTCTTTCTCTTGTTCAGTCCAAAGAAAGATTGCAATTTTTTAGGGTTAGAGAGTATCTGGGTTACGGCCTCTTTCTGAAAGTAACACATTTATTGTTCTGCGCCTGCGTAAAGAACGCGAAGATAGGATAGCCTAGGATCCAGCATTTTGTCTGTTCCTTACATAGCAAATGGTTTTGTCTCTCAATAAAAATAAATACCAGATCCCTAAGAAAATGTGACACTCTGCAATGATATTGTAACTTTGTCCAAGATGTGTAAAGGGTAAATGATTTACAAATATATGTATGTTGGTCTGAAACCAGAACTGTCGACAGTGGGAGCTCGGTCTGAATATTTTTGTCAATCGTTTATCACACTGAACTGGGTCCAGGTTCGCTTGTATTGGAGTTTTCGAGGTTGGAAGTTTTGGGCAAAGATCCGGCTCACTGGAGTGTGTATTCCACATAATTGTCTGCGTATATCCTTAATTTGTAATGACAACATGATTATTGATATAATTGTTGTGCCAAACCTCAATCATTACTGTACTGTCTTTGTTCTGTCTGTTGAGTGTACTGGCTCAACTCTCGTTTTCGATCACTTTCCAGTGCTCAGACAAGCCAAACTCGTACGAGCCTGCTTGTGTTGACATATTTTCACTTGACTTATTTTAGATCCCGTGGATTGACGTTTTTGCTGTACATCCAGTTTTCAAAGTAGATCTATTGCTTAGTTTATGGGGAACATGTCCGCACTCTTGTGAGGCACATTGCTATGATAGCTAATCTAGATTCTCAAGTCCAGTCATTCAATCATTCATTGTTTTTGTGATCATGGTACAAGTGCAGTCCAATCGGGCCTATAACAACAAGGATAGAGTGAAGAGTAGGCAAATGATTTGGGAGTGTAGTTGATATCATTTTTTTCATTTAGTGTTGCTAATTTGAATTTGAGCTTTGCTGATTGTATAAGTAGATCTATAGCCTACCTTTTGAAAAGTATTTTTGTCATTTTCATTTTGGGCTTTCCTAGCCTGCAAAGCAGATTTACTTCCTCTTTTCCTTTGTTTATTTTTAAGCTGATTTCTTTTCAAATATCCTGAGGCTTGAGGTAAATGTTTTTTTTCCTGCATGCAGATGTAGATCTAGATCTTGATCTACTGCTTTTTTTAGGGACTGTATTTTTTGTTGGAGAGCTCACAATATTATATATGGCCACCAAAATGGATGCGGAAAGTGGAAGGACTTCGACTCGTAGATTTCATAGTGGTTGCTCGTTATGGAATTCCTCCCGCAGTTGCAAATTGATGGACAATTGCATTCATAAGAATCAGAATCTCAGATCTAATTGGCGGTATTTTTTTTACTTTCCCTCCCGTCTCACACTCAGCTACCAATTGTCTAATTTCTACTAAATATTGATGCGCTGAACATGAATCATGAATATCAACTTCATTTCCATCGCAAATTAATAGTTTTTTGAAATATTTGATTGTTTTTAACCGAGATCGACATGCTTTGGACCAATCGGGGGTAAAAGAAAATCTGGGGGGTTACCCTGTTTTTACCCATAATTTGATATTTTACAGAGTTAGATTTGAAATGTCTTGATAATGATTGATTTGCGACAGTTTTAGTGGCTTTATTTTTGGAAAGTGGCTATTCTCACCCGCCCGGAAGTTCTCGCAAGATCAACTCCTCCCCTCTTCTCTCTCTCTGTGTCTCTTTCTGAATACTGTCTATCGGTGTGGACGATCAAATTGACCAAAACAAAGTTAAAAAATGATGTTAAAACACAAAAGTAAATAAATTTGGTTGTCTACAAAGATGCTACGGCTATTTAACTTTTCGAATCGAGCCGAACTACGCGGGTCGCCATTTTTTTTTGCCCGGAAATTCTCGCGCTACTCCTCTCTCTCTTTCTCTCTCTCTCTCCACTGCGCACAGACAAAATTGTACGTTTAGTAGGCTACAGTTGTAATGGAACGTTTGTTCACGGCACAGAATTCTACAATTTTTCTGTTATCACAGTGTAGAATTCTGTGGTTTAGGGTGAACGCAAAATTTGGTGAACGCGCACCGGGTGAGAATAGCCACAAGACTCGCCTGCACTATTCTCACTCCGGGTGAGAATAGAGGTGGCCTTATTTTTGATCTGCAGCAAACATTACTGCAGATTGACCCCTGAAACTGCATCTGTGTGCGGGAGTGAAAGTAAAAATTTACCCTACTGGCTACTGGCTTAAATTTTGATTCAGATTTAAATGATACATTTCTCCTCTACAACATGACATTTGTTCGCTCATTTTAAGAGAGGCAGATTGGTAACACCTGTTGTATGACTATCAATAGAAAGGGAAATGAAGAGCTTTCTGATTCAACACATTGGCTCTGACTGAGACAACAGTCGTTTTGTTTTATTTTTATCAGTCATATAGAGTAGAGCACACATGTGCTTCCTGTCAAATAGTCTTTAGAAAAAATTAAATAGAAGATCTATAGCTATGATCGCTCAGCTATTTATAAGCTTTTGTCAACGTATTTTCAAAGGATGCTGCTATGTAAATGTTCACACACTGGTAGTATCTGAGGTATAATTAATGGAAAACATCATGAACAAGTTACGTTTGTAGTGCACTGGGCAGTTGGTTATGGCAACATTTGTAATACGTTTGTACAGTCAAAGGGGTTAACAATGATTGTGTGTGTATAAAATTGAATTGTTGGACATTTTAAAAATTGAATTTTCTTTTATTTCAGTGCTGCCTAGGAGCACCGTTCTTCAAGAGTTCTCGTTGAATTTGTACTATATTTTCCTTGGGTGTGTTCTGTGTAAACCGGCAAACTGACGGACCAGGGTGATAACGAGACGTCATCGTCTCCTGACAATTCGAGGATGGCGGTGTGTCGAGTGCCCACACCGCCTCCTCCAGATGTATCCTGCCCGGTAGCTGACAATTGGTGTTACACGCAGGTTGGTGCTTGTGCCTTTTGGTACCTATCCTTAAAATGAAGTTGTAAGGGACTATTTCTCCGAACATTCGGGGAAAATAAAGTTGAACTTTATTTCTCTGAACGGTTTCTGATCTCGAGATTTATTGGTTATTTGCGAGATTTAGGCGCCATCCTTTTATTCTGCCATTCTGCGAGGACTGGGAAGAAGCATTTTTTTCATCGAATTCAGTTTCCAGAGCTAGAGATTTTTAAATGTCTGAATATTCAGATACTTCAGTTGTGGTTTGGGCAACGTTCCTGGACTATACTTCATTTGAAAATACCTTCAATTGGTACTGCGAGAAAACAAGACTGATCGACCTCGGCCGTAACCTATTTTGCATTTAGTCACCCTACAAAAACTAAAATCCGTACACACCTTACACTCACGCTGACACACACACTCACACACATGCACACACACACATACACACGCACACACACACACACACACACACACACACACACACACACACACACACATGGGCCACTCCATTCGCTTATTATCAACAAATCTCGAGAAAGGGAACCGTTAGGAGAAATAGAGTTCACGTTTATTTTCCCGAACGTTCAGAGAAATAGAGCCGGCCTAAAATGAAACTTTATAAAATGAAGCTGTTGAGCCTGACATTCAATTCAATTTCATTGAATCCTTTTTAAGGTATTAATACCAACGTCAACAGACTTATTCGCCATGAACACACCATTTCTGGTTTCTGCACTTTGATGTTGTTTTTAGGATAACGGTAGGTATAAAACTCACAGTTACTCACACTGTACTGTAGTGAAATGTATAGATCAGATTTTCAGGTCCCAATCTTTTTCTTTGAAAACGTGTAATGTATTTCTTCTTTGTATTTGAAAGGTATAAAGACACAATTTGTTCATACATAAGATTTTCGTGCCCCAACGATTTGTGACTGAGATAGATTGTACCTGATTTCTTAAAGCTATTTTTTAATGTGTTTTTTTGTTTCATGTAGATGAAAGGTAGCATGCACATAGTGAGCAGGTTGTCTACTGTAGTTCCAATTTTGTTCATAAACATTCTTTTTATATTAAGTAAGGTTCCTGCGACCTCTTTGAATTTAAGGCAAGGAGTCCTTGAAAGCTCTTTGAATTTACATTTAAGGAACAATCTCCTTGAAAACTCCTTGAATTTCGCCGTTGAGGACATTAAACAAAATCTTTGTCAGATTGCTCTTGGAATGCCTCCAAAAACGGGATGAATTTCTTGACCACCCTGAATTTTTAAAATTTCTCCTGCAAATCTCCTTAAATTTGGTGGTGAGTTCATGGCAGGAACCCTGTATAAAACATGTACAGTGTGAAATTCGTTATTCGTACACATAATGAAAAGATTCACATGTTCCACTGATTTCACTGTGTGCATGCTCGACCGTTGATTATAAAATGGCTTATCCCATGATTTTTTTTCCCCACAGGTTAAAGTCATAAAGTTTTCGTACATTTGGACTATAAACAACTTCAGTTTCTGCCGTGAAGAAATGGGTGAAGTTCTGAAGAGTTCCACCTTCTCAGCAGGAGCAAATGACAAACTCAAATGGTATGTTGACCTCTAGATTTCACATTCTAAGCTGATTGAATTAGTAAATAATGTATTTTTACGAAATGGCTTAAGTACGGGTAGCCTGACAGTCTAGCCATACTTAGATTTAGGTTTGGCCCTATTGACCTAAACTAGTAATTATTCAGGTTTAAAATACATGCATGTCAGTAAGGCACCTTTTGGTTTCGTCTGAAATACAAATACTTTTGGTATTGCAAACTAAAACTTTATTTACAATCCAGCCGTCATTATTAAGTATGGCTAGCCTGCTATTCTAGCCGTACTTATTTTAGGCCCTATTTAGAAACCTGTTGAGTACACAGGTCTCATGAGTAATTATTCAGTTTTAAAATACATAGGCCTACACTCTCAGTAAGGCACCTTTTGGTTACGTCTCAAATACATACTTGGCTCTTGTCCTGCGTCTGTGCTGAGGTGCGAATCTTATCAGCAACCTATTACGTTGGAAATTTCGGGCGGGCCGCAGGGGTCACTCAGCGTGTACTGTTACTGTGCAGCGAGCAGGCCTGGAAACGTGTGTTTTCGCCGTGAATACCGCGGGAGCGTGTTGATCGATGATGAATAACACTCTATCTTTAATAGCTTTCTATTTATAAAGTATTACGAACACATATGTATAACTCCCTCTCTTGAGCTGATAAGACAATACGAGTAGTTACACCAATCCGAATAACCTTTTTAGATGCCCAGGTTGTTATGAATGATCTGGGGTTCGAAAGGGGATAGATAGTATAAAGGTCAATTTCCGAATGTTTTGCTCTCAAATTGTTCTTTTTACATGCACACACTATCAAACAAGCTTATTTTTTTTATCAGAGTATCATTTCATAAAAAATCAAGCTCATTTGTAAGATTATGTATAGAAAAATATAAGTCGTGTTTCCTTTCTATACTTACGAGCTTCCTCATGCTAAAGAACATCTAGAGCTACCAACTTGGCGAGTTTTAAATGAGACGTATGGCTCAGTTACGATCCAACTCATTGCGGTTCTAGAAGTAGGCCACAAACGCACACAAACTCAAGCAGACTGACGCACACACACTTGAGCTGCGTGAATGCGGGTCTGATGCGAGACCCGAACGGAACGGGGGTGATGCTCGGGGCGTGATGCTCGGGGCGTGTGCGCTGAGCCAGTGGCCGGACTGACACGGGACCACAACGAAGGCGAGGTGCTGAAATAGGCTTATCTGGTGACATAAACCTGACACCCGCTGGACCAGGGTTAAATGCATTGCAAGCTAAAAAATTTTTTACAATTCAGTAGGCTTTTTTTGGTGCTGTTTTTCAGTCTAGCCATCATAATAATTATGGCTAGCCCAGCCGTCTAGCCGTCATTAAGTAGTACGATTAAACTTTGCTGATTTATGCTTTGAAGCAAAGAAGTTTTGCTTTGACGTTTTTGGCGTCAATTTTCGACTGTATGTGAATTTTGTATAGAATTTGTAAACCTGAAAGTAGGAATACCACTAGTCCTGTGTGGCAGGTGTGAAAATGCTGTGGACTTGCCACAGCTGAGTACACATAGGAACATGCTAATTTAATGTACTTTACTATGCGTCATACATCAATACATGCTGGGAAAATTGGAACATTCACTGAAGAAAAAAAATACCTTCAGTGACGGCAGAGTTTCAATTGAAGAAAGGGGTTGGTTGGTAGCCAGTCTGAAACCTGATCAATGGCAACTTAACATTCTAAGTCTCCTTACTCTGAGTCTGAGGGGTTGGGAAATAGCTAAATAATACCCAGATGCCCCCAAATTTGGCAGCCAATGAACAGACATTAATCTTTGGATTCCGTTTTTAAAAAGAGTGAAAAACGAAGAAATTACGAAGTGGTTTGTCTGGGGTTGTCAGTTTTTTTCAACAGTGCAGAATCATATCGTTGCAGATAAGTTTAATTTTATAACATTAGAAGCAATGAAATTCCATTTAAAAAGATTCCTTTGTAGAATAATAACATCGATGTCAGAAAGAAAAACACCATTGCATGCAATTAACACTAGCTGCCAGCTTGCTGTGAAGTGACAGCTGCTGATTGGACAGTAAATTTTAATTGACCAGAATACCAAGGATGCTGTACTCATGGACTAAGACATGGTTTTCAAAGGTTCCTTTTAATTTGTCATCACAAATAATTGGGCTTAATTTTGGTTTTATGAATTTAGTGCTGATATGGACTTTCATTTAATATAAAATTTTAAAGTAAATGACAGGTCAAAATATTAATTTTTAGGTCAAAACTGAAGTTTGTCATAACAGTTATGAACGAACAATTAAAGGCATTCTAAGGGTTTTGCAGTGATTAAACTTTTGAATTCTTCCAACATATATCCTTATTTTGAGGAGAGTCTCATAAATTAAAACAATTTTATGTGAATGACAGAACAATAAGTTAATTTTTTGGGCCCAAAGTAAAATTTGTCATAATAGTTATGAACGAAACAGTGTGTCATAACGGTTA